AAATTAACTGTAAAAGTAACAATGAGGAAGATATTGGATGTGAAATATTAAAACAAGTTTTGTTTTTTTCTCCTTTATAAGTCTGCTTCTAATTATAATTTTCTAATTATCCACACGGAGTTTATAAACAGAGTATTTTGTAATTGGAAGTCAAATTTGAATTTTGTTATCAAATTTTATAATGTGTCACGTAATAGCCCAATCACGTATATACACATTTCAATATTCCGTGTAAAATATTACGTTGGGTATGCGACTGATTTAATATATATATATATAAATCAATATATCTAATGCTATACAATACATTAATTGTTCATAGACGATTGAAATTAGCACTATAAAACAATAATGAACTTAATATAAACCAGAAACAATATAATAGAATTGAAGCTCAAAATTATGCCTCCGTTTTCGTTCCTTGTTGTCATCCTTAAGTCATAAAGAATAATGCCTGTGGCCATAGCAACCAAATGTGTTGGGGATATTCCATCTATCAAGCAAAATCCAAACGCTGATGTAAAACAAGCCAACAACAAAGGAGAATCAGTTAACAACTCATACTGCTTTTGCTGTCTGCAGGCAGCTGTGGGAAAGCAGTTACCTTTAATATTTATTAGTAACTTTAATGTCGAACTTAGCCAACAAGGACGACAACAGCGACTAGTAAATACCTTGTAGACAAGTTCGAGTCTGGCAACTGGTTTTACTTGATTCATTTTTTGAGACGACTTAATCCAGACACGGACAAGTACCAACAATAAACATGACATAAAACTATAAACATAATTCTTGAAGCTGCTCACACAAGTGACATATTAAAAAAAGATAAACAAAATTCTTTAAGTTGCTCACACAGGTGACACATTCAAAAAGATAAACATAATTCTTTAAGCTGCTCACACAAGTGACACATTAAAAAAGATAAACATAACTCTTTAAGCTGCTCACACAAGTGACACATTAAAAAGATAAACATAATTCTTTAAGCTGTTCACACAAGTGACACATTAAAAAACTATAAACATAATTCTTGAAGCTGCTCACACAAGTGACACATTAAAAAAGATAAACATAATTCTTTAAGCTGCTCACACAAGTGACACATTAAAAAAAGATAAACATAATTCTTGAAGCTTCTCACACAAGTGACACATTAAAAACGAGAAACATAATTTTTGAAGCTGCTCACACAAGTGACACATTAAAAAACGATAAACATAATTTTTGAAGCTGCTTACACAAGTGACACATTAAAAAACGATAAACATAATTCTTGAAGGCTGCGCACATAAATGACACATTAAAAACGATAAACATAATTCTTGAAGATGCTCACACAAGTGACACATAAAAAAACGATAAACATAATTCTTGAAACTGCTCACACAAGTGACACATTAAAAAAGAAAATCCTTCATCATCAGGGCGACAGAAAGCTGTTTGCTGACTCCCTCCTGAATAATTAGCTTTGTCTAGGTTTTACTTCATACATTCTCAGACCTCAGGTTTGGTCTAGCTTTGAACAGTACAACGCGCTAGACTTTGTTGTGCGTTTCTTTTTGTTTTCTTTTGTAATTTTAAAGATATATTTAGGTGTCTGTAATACATACGTAACAAGGACTTTAACTAACTTCGTGATGTATATAAATGTTAAAGACTTTTTTCTTTTTCTCCGGATGTTTGTTTGTAGTTAAGAGCAAAGCTACACAAAGGACTCTCGGTGATCTGCTTACCACGGGTATCGAAACTCGGTTTCTGGCGTTGTAAGTCCACAGACATATCGCCATGTCACTGGGGGATGCTTCACCAGAGGTGAAGTTGAAAAGAGAAACTGTGACGTAGAGGCCTAATGCATTGTTTGATTGGCCGTACCCACTGCTGTGGATTGTGGTTTCGCCTACTTAAAGCTCATCAGCACAACTTGGGTCAACAAACCAAGGAAATACCTTTAGGCCTCGTATAATGGTGAAGTGCATATAATATTTATGGGTTAAAAAGAAAAGAAATTTTTAACATACTTATACAGTCATTAAACAGTTGGTTCGCTGTATAATATCGAATAACGAATTCGACGAAATATCATGATATTATTCGCATACCTAAGTTAATTTACGGTGAAGTACAACGGACTCAAAATCCTATAGATAACTTATGATGATTTGCAGCGGTTTCGTAGTTTGAGTGCTAAGCTTTAGTTGTGACTGTCATAATTTTTATCAATCTTGTACGATAATTTTTATAGTGAGAACGTGAACACCTACGTGGAGGTGTACAGTTGTTATACGTGGAGGTGCACAGTTGTTATACGTGGAGGTGTACTGTTGTTATACGTGGAGGTGCACAGTTGTTATACGTGGAAGTGTACTGTTGTTATACGTGGAGGTGCACAGTTGTTATACGTGGAGGTGCACAGTTGTTATACGTGGAGGTGCACAGTTGTTATACGTGGAGGTGTACTGTTGTTATACGTGGAGGTGCACAGTTGTTATACGTGGAGGTGTCCAGTCGTTATACGTGGAGGTGTACTGTTGTTATACGTGGAGGTGCACAGTTGTTATACGTGGAGATGCACAGTTGTCAGGCTGTAGTAATGAAACTTGCCATATTCTAACTGGAACTGAAAAACAATTATACATTTTTAAAAACATACTATTAAAGTCAATGAAAAGCTTGTGTGCCTTAGTTGCTCTGTGTGTATTTTTGCTATTCTCGTACCAAGTTATGAAAACAAACCATTTCTACTAAGATCTTTACCATTAGAAGACAGCTTATATATTTAATATTTAGTATTTTTTATCATTCTGATTTAACCAGCAGCGGTTAATCCCCTTTATTTTTGGTAAACACTTTATCTCAACAGAAGATCAATCTTCTTTCAAAGTGTCGTATTATTAAAAAGGAAACGATTAGCTGACAACAAAATGTCAACTTTAGAATTTTAAATCGAAGCTATCTTTGTGTAACACAAAATTATTACACAGATCTTTCTGAACATTAATTTCATAAGATAACATAAAAAACGTTTTATATCTAAGGTTCAACGTAATTACACTGGTTTTTCTAAAAGTTAGTTTCGTATATTAGCAGTTAGATGACGTGCTTCGAATGAATGAAATTAGAATAACACCAGTTACAATAGTATTTGTCAAACGAATTTCAGAAAATCTAAATTGACTTTGATTCAATCTATTCTTCTTAAACAACGCAACCTAAAAACTTAAAAGTTAACAATAACTATAAAGTAGTCATATTTACATAACGAATGGTTTAATTATTGAATAAAGCGAGGAACGGTATTTTTAACTTAATCTTAAATTATTAGTTTTACTACACTAAACAAAACCATTAAAAGATTAGTGGAAGCCGAAAGGTTGCAGGTATGACTAGGTAAAACCATTGTTATAAAATAATATCAGTTACTCCCTTAGGACAATGGTACGTATGTCAGTGACGTACTCTGAAGTGCACAAGACTGGTCAATCAACCTTTGTTCATCCCCAGAAATGATAACACTGGTCCCCACTATGCTACACCAGTTTTTTGAAGAAGAAAAAATGATTTAAGTAAGTGACTTGAATACTCTCGGAATCAACGTCTAGCTATTCAGCGTTTGATTATTTGTTGTAACACAAAGCTACACAATGAGCACTGCTCACCATGGGTTTCGAAACTAGACATTTGGCGTTGGCTTTGAGTCACCAGTGGCTTCTTCAGATAACATTGTCGCATCCCCTCAAATGACTCCAGACATTAACAGGTGCTCTTGAAAAAGCTTTTTCAGAGGAGTGGTCGAAGACATTTAATGACCTCATCAACACTGATTTTAAGCGTATCACATCGGCGCCAAGCTGCTCTTGCTGTTCATGAAGACCAAACGCCATGATGAACTGAAATGTCATGAATAGGTGTAAAGCTATCTCTGCAAGTGTTAGTTTATGGGCGTAGGATGAATAACTAATCATTTACGATTTAGATCAGGTAAAGGATCACCAGAAATAATCTGAGGAAGCGACTGATATTTACACTATAACAGAGGTTTTCTCTTACCACACTTAATTAATCCCGCAATACTACAGAACTTAATTGCTTGCGTGATTTGCTTTTACTAGCTTTACTAATTTCTAGCGAGATAATGCTAAAACGACGTGACCTGCTGTTTCATTTAATTACCAACTTAGAGGTGAAAATTATTCGATGTATAAACGATTTATTATTCAAACATATAATTGTGCTTATATCTGGCATACACGATAAACCACAATAAAAAATTGACTTAGAAGACAATTTCAATGGTATTTATGGTCCTGCCATCTGTTGTAGGTAAATAAAATTAAACAAATAAAATTAATGTTTACTGCTATGTAACGAAAATACGCAAGGTTCTGATATACACACTACTAAATGTTGTGAGTCAAACTTGATTTTTTATTATAATTGAAAAATAAACTTTTAAGATATATGATTTTTTTAAAACAATATTTGAAAAATAACATTCATAATATTATATATATATATATATTTTCTAAATTTATTCTAAAAATAAAAACGAAAAAGCCATTCATAACCTTTGTCAAAGATGAAGCATATACAGCATAAAAATAGACACATCATTTAATAAAAAAAGCTGATTTATATACAACAAATGGTTAATTATTTCAGTTTTACTGATTTGATTATAATTCATAAAATTTTTACAATAAACTTCTGTATTTATGCATGTCAAGTGAACGAAAGAGACTTTTATAATGAAACGTTGTTCGTTTTATACTTTGTGATTAAAGGCTTATGAGCTTAGTGTATTTTTTACGCAGTGTCATTTCTTGATGAGAGCAAGAAAGTTTGTTCATGTGTGATAGTGGCTCCATCTAGTACGTACAATGTTAATGAGTTCTTAGCTTCATACTGTATAATATAATATAAAACGAAAAAATAAATTATAATTTAGATGCTTCATGTTCAAAGTAATTTATTCATTTATTGAATGTTATGAACCAAAGTACAATTAATTTTCTTTATTAATTTCATGAGATAGAAGATTTACAATATCATATACAATATTTCCATCTAGTTCAAGTATTTGGTTGGGAGGTTACAGAGTAATACACAGAAAAGAATAGTGATTGCATCTTTAATGGACTGACGTAGTACAATACGAATGCGATCACAAGGCATTCCAAAACAATCAGAACAATTTGTTACGAGCTTTTATATGATTACATAACAACAGTCAACGAGAATGGCTTATGATGTTTTTTTCACACTGACAATGTAAATACAGATGACGCTGCTTGTTCAAAATAAAAGAAAAAAAGGAGTGACTGCGTGGGTTGAAGCATCTATCACAGTTTTAACATCTTCGGATATGGACGCAGGCACTTTGAGGTGCTCATCGGACCAACCGATTTTCACAGATTTTCCATGTTTATAGAAACACTTCTTTAAGACACAAGCACCAGTTTTAGGTTCATAACTTGTAGCAAAATCACATTTGTCAGTAGAAACCAGGACTGATTACCTAGAAAACAACATGATATTTTTTAAAACTTTACAGTTTATCAGAAATGCTAAATTTAATTAACATATTAAATTTTCATGTTCCATTTAATATCAAGTAATGAAATCGTTTCAAACTGAACCAAATAAAACAATTTTTAAGTGTCTTCATCAACAACGGTGAAAAGGACATCCTTCACTCTTTTTCAGTTATCAAAAGTTTCACTATTTTTGTTACATTACCCTTTTTTTAGTTATAAGTTAACACTATAGTCTTAAAATTAGAAGAAGAAAAACTTTTAAAGGACAGTATGTAAAAATGAAAAAACAAAGGTCTTACCTGTAATTTTGTAAAAACGATTTATGTTTAGTTGTTACCATAGAGATAACAATTTTATCTCTATGGTAACAACTAAACGTTCAAATCCATCTCATGACTTGACAGCACATAGGGGCATTGCTAAACTTCAGTTTCAATGGAACAAGCGGATGAGAATGTTATTTGACGTTAAGAGCTATCTGTGCTTTGCCCACCACGGGTATTGAAACTCGGTTTCTATCGTTATAAGTCTGCAAACATACCGCTCTGCCACTGGGGGGCGGATGAAAATGGTGACGAGTGACGAGTAAGCCTCGAACTCGCAACCATTCGATTACGAGTCCATTATGTTACGCTACCCCAATTAAATATTAACCTCTTTCAAAACGGTATACTTCAAGTATAGTTTTTATACAGAATTCATTAGTTCACAACATTATGCTCTTAACAATTTCACGCAGAAACAACACATTTAATATAATAAAATTAAAACAAAAATATGATTTTTGCATAACAAAAGTGCACAAAATCCATATTAATACAAGTACTTACTGTACGTTTTGCCAGCAGAATCACGTACCCTTCTTATTGTAGAGGGACCTGGAAAATAAAACGTTATTTCAGAACGAAATATTTTCTCACAGTCGCGTTCGGTAATATGATATATTCCAATCAAGCAGACTGAAGATGATCGCTCGCCAGGTGGCTGCAGTACTTGTGCACATATTAAAAATTGAATTTGTACATAATAAAGCGAAATGTTTAATACAGCTGGAAGTATACGGAAAGGGTAAAGCCAGCTGAAGCCATGTTTGCGGGGTCCAGGTGAATACCTCTGACCATATTTGTTTAAAATAGCAACTGAGCCTTGTCTGGAACATGCAACGTGGCCATATTTCTTATCTGGTTTGAAGAAGTTGCACAGTTTGTTTGTTTTTAAATTTTGCGCAAAGCTACACTAGGGTTATCTGCGCTAGCCGTCCCTAATTTAGCAGTGTAAGACTAGAGG